CCTCGCCCCCCCCCCCCCCCCCTTCCTGCAAATGAATGCAGCCCTGTAAAAGCAGGGGAGACATGGAGGCTTCTTCCAAGCTCATTTCATCATGCTTGTGATGGTAGTCATCTTTGTGCTAGAAAGCCCTTCATCTGTTTTGTCACATTTTTCCCAAAGTATTTGGTAGGCTAATGTTAGCAGGTCCATTGAAGTACCCAATGAAGCCCTAGTGATGAATAGTTGGAGCAGTGAATGGTAAATAAATATATCCAAGACCCCTGCCTTAAGATCTACTGCCCACTTACATCAGAGGTGTGTCGGACTAAATCCTGCAGAACTGGTGCAATGCAGAAAGGTGGCACAAGATATAGGGGTAAAAGGCCAGGAAAACCTGGAGCAAAACAGTTCTAGGGCATGGGGCAAGATAGTTATTTGCCAATATGCTCTTGGAAGAAAAAGTAATTGTTGGGAGAGCTGGCCTTGGAGGAATGTATGGATTTGTAATTCCATCCATCTCTGATTAAAAAGCCTTGACCGTGTGTTCCTGTGAATTATGTGTCTCCTGTACTTTGAATTTCTGTTTGTAGCTGACGCTTACCCTAAGGTATTTGGTGGAAGTGCATAAAAGTTATTGTTGTCCTGGGGGGCAAAATGCTCCATCTGGCTTCTTTCTTTTAAAGAGCATTTTTGTAAGCTAAGGCCTTTGCCAATATGAACCGTGCAAGGACTTGCTATGCCGTAACAATTGGCTGCCTCAAACATAGGATATGTATGTAAAGGTTACTGAAGAATTTATAGAGTTAATGATTTATTTCATCTGTCACTTCAGACAGAATAATTATAAGCTCCATCTTGCCCAGCTAGGAAGAAACTTAATGCTGACAGCAGACAGTTTTTGCACTAGTTTATTGCTGGTGTGTGCTTTATCTTGGAGATTTGATTTGTTCCCACCTGTTCTGAAAACTAATTTTAATCTTAGTCCTGCAGCCTTTCTCTCCTCTGAGAAACTGGACCTTCACTGTGTCTATCTGTTTCTTATGAGTAGGAAGCAGTGGGAAGGTGCTGGTGGCACTAGGCCTGGGTGGCATTGGGATGCTTGATCCGTCTGTCCATCCATCCCCCCCCAGGTGCTCCCCTGCTAGCTGGGTAGACCACCCTGTGCATCCTCCCCACCTCCTGGCCACAGAGGAAGGTTTGACATGTCGGTATTGTCATAAGAACAGGTTGGGCTATTGTCCTGATCTAGATGGAGGTGGTCAGGTGTGGGCTGCCCAACAGGGACCCTCAGATATCACTCACCACACGTTTGCATACCTTATTATCCTTTTTCCCATTTTTGAACATCCTTCTTGTAGCCCTTGCTCCTCCCTTTCTCCACCCCAGTCTTCTCCCAAAGAAACAGCCTGCCCCATTTATGGTTTTCCCATGGGTCCCAGTTCTGCAACATCCATACTCAAATTTGCTATTTCTGATACTATTCCCTAGGCATTTTTAACCCTAACTGGTGTTACTGAGATGGTTGCCCAGTGCTGCTGGCCTTGCAGTGGGCAAGCCAGCTAAAGATGTGAGGGGTTGGGTGCTCTGACATCACTGCTTAATACTGAAATGCTTGGGTTTGAAGACAGAGAGGTGAGCTCTTCAAAAGCATTCTTGAGTTGTTCCATGTCTGCTTTGGTTGATCTTGGTGGTGGTAAGAGTTAAATGAACACTTTGAAAATCCTACCTGACAGCCCACCTGAAGGGATTTCATGTTCCTGCTGCTGTTTTTTCACCAAAAGGTAGATAAGCTTTGTTTATTTTGACTCTACAGGCAGAAGCACTTGTGTGGGATAATGATGTATCAGCTCATGCCCAGACTGTTGCCAAGGCCAAATATGAATTTTTATTTGGCTTGGAAGAAGAGAAGCGTTCAGAAATGGGTAAGTGCTATTTATTACTATTGGGATTACTATTGGGGGGGGGGGCGGATAATAATCTCTTAAGCCACTCAGGAAAGTTTTGCAGAAGCTGCTCCCTAATGACCCCACAAGGGCTCGCTCACTGTGCTACGCTGCCCTTTGCCGGACCACAGTGCAAGTACCAGACCACACAAGCCTGCTGGTTTGGCCCCAGAAAATGACAGCAGTTCCCTCTCTTACGCCCCCCCCGCTTTCTCTTTGGCTCACCTGGGCGACCTCGATGTGACAGTGGGGACTCATGTGCTGGAGACATGTTGGCGGAGGGAATCCCAGCACTTCTCTGCAGCGGAGTTGTTCCAGCCACACGTTCTGCAATTGCACATGCTGAAACATGGCCATCTCTGCCTGGAGGTTCTTCCAGGAATGCCCTTCGTGGTCTGCATGCTGCTCTTCCCACAGCTAGAGGTTGATAAGATTTTAATTTAGATACTTGAGGTGGTATCCTAACTGCTCCGTCCTCTGTAGTTAGTAATTCAAGAAATCCAGGTGCAGTATCTAATGTTATGCTAAGGATCAGCCTTGTTTCTGTTCTCTTCTTAGAATACAGGGTGTTTTCTACCTTTTCACAGCCCAAGCTTAGAAGAAAAGAAATGTCGTTACTATACCTATTTCTCTTGCCTCATTGTAATTATCAACAATCTCTGCCCTCTTTGCAAAAGTATTTCCTCAGGCTGTTCTCTTTGCACCTTGATCCTTTCTAATTGCAAACTTTCTGGAATGTCGCTTTTAATTAAAGACGACTCCCTTCTTGCCAGAGAAGGGCAGCACTTCCATACAGAAACAAGCTGTGTAGTCTCCTCCACTTCAGTGAGGAAAGGGGGAAGGAAAAAAAAGGAAAAAAAATAAAAAAGCAGAACTGAAGTCTGGAAAGTGAGTAAACAGTTTCTGCCTGGATTTTCTAAAGTTTGGTCTTCCATTTGGAAAATCCTAATTGCAGAGTGGAGGGGGAAAAAAACCCAAACAACGAAAGTGTCCTCATTTAGGAATTTTAAAAACTTTTACAAATTGCCACAAAGCGTGTATCGTATTATTACATGAATCATGATGACCTCATTTCTTGTTTGAAGAGACACAGTGTGAGAGCACTGTCAGCAGGCATTAGTACATTTCCGGAGATTGGCATTAAATAAAGTATGCTGCGTCTAATAAATCCAAGTGAATCTATTGTTATTACTAACCAAAACAATTATCAAATGTGATGGGTATTCTGAGCTGACTGAGTACTGAGCCCTCAAATAAAGGGTGGCAAAGAATAAGCCAGATATATTGGTTTATGTGTGTACTTTTCTGTATTTTTCCTGTGCTGCTTCTTGCCTTGTTTCTGAATCTGCTTCTGTTCCTTTATTAATCAGAAACTACCATTAGGGGCTAACAATTAGTGAAATGGGAGTGACTTCAAAGGAGCGTTTCCATATATTTGACAGTGGTTAACATATAACATTTGTGAATTGCACCTGAAAACTGGGTGACCTTGTGCCTACCCGGACTGGCTTCATGCTGTCCCAGACAAATGCATGCTCTTCCTCCTCCTCCAGGAAGATGTTTGACGGTAATGGATAGATGAGAGTGGTGCTGCCCCTTCTATTTTTTTTCTTCAAGTGAACAGATTTTAACTGCTTATTAACTGGAGATGAATGAGGACAGGGTGACTGAGGGCACAGTAGTACAAACCCAGGGCTCTGTGCACGAAATCCTGGCTTCCTTTGATTTGACATATGTTGAGTATGTCGTGACATACGTTTTGCGGGGAAGCAGCTATGCCTGAAAGTCTTTCTGTCATTCTGTGTGTTAGATGGGGAGGGAGAAAACGCCACCAAAAATCCAATCCAACCTGCTTCTTTCTAAAGTTGCCTTTAAAAGAAAGAAGACATGGCTTTTGTGGGTCAAAGTATGAAAGATTTCAAGCAAACGACTGATGGGGGCAGGGCCAGGAGAAGTACTGGTTTTTAAACTAGATCAAGAGAACAGCTTGTCACTGTGGGCAGTAAAGCTGAACTTTAATTTATCTAACCCAAAGCAGTTCACCCGTGCCTTGGCTGGCCTCAGAAACTGAGAATGTAACATGTAAGCTGCTGAACGGCTTAATTACTTCTGCCTCCCAGTTTATCCTTTCCCTTTCAGCCACAATCATATTACTGAAGCCCTGCTGGATACTGTTGAGGGTATAAATTTTTTAATTGGGTATTAAAATACTTGCATTGGACAAGCCAATTCACGAAGAAGGAAGAATAATTGGGGCCGACTCTAGGAAACACTTCTGTTTGCCTAGATGGGAGATGGCTGAATTTGTTAATAAGCTGCTGTGCTGATTTTTACCTTCCAGGTTGAAGCTTGTGGTCATTTTTCACAGGTGAGAGGAAGGGAAAAAAAGGTTAGATGCCTGTAGAAGAGGTGTTTCATCGATGATATTCAAATGCTAATAAAGCTGCCACATTAAAAACAGTTCCTCCTCATTTCTCTCCTTTGCTGCCCTCAGTCTGGTTTTATCTGGGATATTTGTGATCCCTGATGTACTCATGTGCTCTCATCTTTACTGTGTAATGCCTTGTCTGGCTCCTCTCCTCTCCTCTCCTCTCCTCTGTTCTCCTCTCTCCTCTCTATTGCCCATCCTCCTGCCCTGGATGCATCACTCGGAGCAGAAGCAGGTCCAGGCCCCTGGGACCCTCATCACATCGCGGGAGGGCTCGGGGCTGTACATCTCCCTGCAGACTCCTGCTTGTGGGGCTGCTTTTTGCTGCCATGGGAGCGGGGAGGATGCACCACGCATGGCCACGCGTCCCTGTGCCTCCTGGCTACCTTCCTCGGTGAAAACCCCAGCCTTCTGCCTTCCAGCAAAAGAAAATGTTTTTTAAAACCTGAATTAGGCTGGGTTGCACAAGACGTCTTCTCAGCCTCGTTGACATAAAGGGTGCTTGTTTTATATGGAAACATACCCTCCTCTGGAACTGGCTGTGGAAACAGTGATCTCTATTGAGCAGCCTTATCTTGAGGCTTGGGCACTCTACAGAGTACTGATTTTTATGACTTTGCAGTTAATACGTTTAAATACCAAAAAGAAAGAAGAAGTCCTAACAACATGACTTAGTCCTAACAAGTGCTTCCTTGGGGAAAACAGAGGGGGATCCTACAAAATAATTGCTTGAGTAAACATGAAAGCCAAGGACCCCATAATTCCTGTTATATGAGAATATAAATCCAAGACAGTTGTTAGGAAGAAAATAGCTTCTTAAGACTCATAAATAGTCTTTTCTCTGATGCTTCTAGGAAAAAGCTTTCACACACACACACCCCCCTGGTGTAACAGAGGGTTTAATCTTACCCTTCACAAAAAAGCCCTGTACCAAGAGTCCCCGTGTTGCTGTGCAAATCTGGTCTATCCCAACAGCTGCTGGAAGAAGCTTGTTTTTGAATTCTTGGTGAAACAAATAGCTTTTTGGAAAGCCTGTCACTTGCTGTTTTGTGTACAGTGAGGTGTCATGAGGCAACTGAGCTCCTCTAACAGCTTGCTTCTGCCAAAAGAGATGGTCCCAGCCACACGCTGCAGCGGACTGTCTCATGCTAGTTCTTGTGCTCATCTGTTTTCTTAGCAAGCTCAAGCCAGCAAAACCAGTAACAAACCCAAAACAATGCCCAAAAAACAATTCTAAAAAAGGTTTACTTTCTCCTGGCAGTGTGCGCTGAATCACCTCTGCAAGGGGTCAAACGGTGCCAGAGCTGACACATGAAAGAAAACGAAATGCATACTTTAATCCATGCAGCCTACTCATTACTGAACCTGAATCATGGAAATGATTGCTTTTGCTGTAGAATTGCTTTACCTTGTTTCAGGAGCAAAGGAAGCACACAATGGCTCCTTTTTTTGTAGAAGCAAAGCCTTTTCTGGTCCTATGATGCTGATTTGAACAGCGTTAAGAAAATTACTCCAGTAACTGTCTGTAAAATGGGTATCACTAACTTACTAGGCTGTCCTTTGCTCTTCTGCCTCGCTTGCTTCCTCTGTGTCACTTCAAGCCATCTGTGTCCAGCTCTGCTGCATCCTCCTTGCACTGCATGGATGTGGCACCTTCCTGATCCTCACTCCAAAAACTGCCCTTAGACCACAGTCACTCACACATTGCATCACTCTCATGCTAGATCAGATCACTGACTGTAGTCTTGCCCAGTGCTTCAACTGCATCCCTTTCCATTTCGATGCACCACCCTTTGTCATGTTTTCATCTCTTGGTCTTTCCATCTCCAGGCAATCCTGAAAGTCTGGGCTCCCTGGTCTGGTATCTTCCTCTGCGGCTCTGCTTTCCTGAAAAGGTACAATTCCCTGCATTTTCTGAGGGCTGAAGGATTGCCCGATTTTCACATTCATGTTGTGTAATTACAGGGGACAGAGCCTGTGAGGGTAGGTATGTCAGATGTGCATTTAGGAGTATGTCCTGCAACATTTATCAGGGACACATGCAAGGCTGGAATCTGGAAAGCTCAGACCTGTGGTGCCCCCCCACACTTAATTAAAATTCCATCATTCTGTTGTGCATACTTGACTCTATCAGGGGTTTTTTTTGTTGTTGTTTCTAGTGTCCCACTGCATTTTCTGACACACTGAAGACCTGCAGAAGTTTTTAAACAGTAGTGTGTAATCAATATAATAAATACGTTTTCTCATAGGTATCCCTGCTGTTTGGTATTGCTGGTTGGCAATGATGCAAAGAGAAGGTTAACTTTTTAAATCTAAGTCTCCAGAGGTACTGTATTAAAAGGTACTTTTCCGGTTGAGTTTGTGCACTCTAAGAAGTGATTACCTCTCTGGCACCAGCACATTGACAGGCTGTGCCGAGTGCTCCTCTTTCACTCCAATGCAGAGTAAACCAGGTGATTTTAAACTACTGCTTGGATGCTCTGAAGAGCAGCAATCTCCTACAGTGCTGTCAGAAGAGCACATCTGACTGTGCATATGGACAAATTAATGC